TTAAAAATATATATTTGCTAATGATAGTAGTCTAGATAAATTCTAATTTCCCTTCTATACTTAGATTTAGCTGGTAGTCATTGTTTATAGAGTTTGATGATTCCTCGTTATTCTAATTGTGCATGCAGTAGAGTATGCAAATTACCAGAAAAATCTCCTACTGACAATGCAAATGAAACATCAGGTGAGTGGATATATTCTTTTGTGTCATTAATCAGTTGATTAAACTGTCCTAAAATGCAAACTGACAGGGCTGACCCCACCTTCCAAGCCTCCAAAGAATCATTTATGTTGCCAATAATGTAGCCAAGACAATAAAGCATATTCTGTGTGTTTCCTTTTAAAAGCCTGAAGGCTTTCAGTTATCCTTGGGAAGAGCCCATACTATAGATAATCTAGAATAGTATTTATAATAATAGCATTAGAATCCCAAAGCAAAACCTGGAGTGAGTGAGCTGCCCAACATGCAGTGCGATAGTAGATGAGTTTTCCAGACAACAGTTCTGAGGAAGAAGACCTGTAGGAAAAGAGAGGGAAGGAGTTCAAGCATTGTTTGTTTTCTTTTTTAACTTGGCTTTTCTACACTCCTTCTACTAAGATGCCATTTGTACGTACAAATCACTTCAGTTTATTTTCAAAACCCACAGAGAGAGATATTGTTTTGTTGTGGTTACATCCTAGTCAGTAGAGGCCCAAAGCCTCCCATTGTGAGAGGAAATGAAGCCTGGCTGAGTCTTTAAGAGGCCTCGGTCTACATGTGGCTCCTTTCATCTCAGGCTTGTAATTGCTGTGATTCAGCCCCAGACTATTTCCAAAGGTAGCCTACTGAGAAAATCCTCAGTATCTAACCCAAGATACATTAAAGAAGTTTGGTCCCACAAATGAAGCAAAGATGGCATTTAGGTTAACAAGCAAAAGGGCAAAGTCACTTCCCTCCCTCATCTGAAGCTGTCAGTTGTCCCAGTAAACTGCATTGCTGAAGTCATCCCCCTACCTGGAGAACCAAGGCACGTTGATAAAACACAACAAGACATCAAGACAGATCAGATCCCAAAGCTTCCAAATGAATTCTTTTTTTGAAGGTGCACGTCCTGGGGAAGGTTGTGTTGTAGATTACGTTCTCTCGGTAGTTCACGTATGCGTGCCTGTGTTGGCCCAGAATGCCCTTCCCACAATCCCAGCACTTGCCTGCTAAGGAAATGCTTTTCTTCCAACATCGGACTGAGAGTATCCTCAAATCAGATTCCCTTCTCCTAAAGGGTAGAGGATTGCCTTCCCTCTCACTACCATTGTAGCAAGCGATTGTTATGGGTGTGTTACTGTTTTGCAACCCGGCCTTCAGATCAGATGCCACCATAAATTCCCTGAGGACGGTGGCACTCTTGCCCCGTTTGCATCCCTTGCACACAGCACGGGCTAGACCTAAGTAGGGATGTCATGAACTGAGAAAGCATGGTCTGACCAGGTATTAAAATTTAGATTCGGAAAACTGGATCCCTCCAATGCTGATTCTAATGTCTTTGGGTGATGATCCATTTTCTGACAACACTATCAAGTGAGTACAAACGTGTCTCCCCTGAATGGGGCATTTAACCACTTCAGAACTGCAGATGTTCCTTAGAAACAGAAGAGGAAACAAACAGCTAAGGAAAATGAACTGAAGAAGGAGGGAATGATATTATTAAACAAAAAAGAGTAATGTGAAAAATCTTTTTTTTATTTTAAGATTTTATTTATTTGTTTTTGAGTGAGAGCACAAGCAGGTGGGAGGGGCAGACAGAGAGGGAGAAGCAGACTCCCGCTGAGCAGGGAGCTTGACCCAGGGCTTGATCCCAGACCCCGGGATCATGACCTGAGCTGAAGGCAGACATTTAACTGACTGAGCCACCCAGGCGCCCCTAATGTGAAAAATCTTTATAAACTGTCAGCTCTTACACTGTCATTTTTAGAATATCTGACAAGGCTAGCAGATTTCCCCACCTTCCTTTATTCCTTTTTGGGCACTGCAACTGCAGATTGCCTAGAAAACAACATTTTGGGTTATTTGGGAGAAATTATTCCATCCTTCTTTGTAGAAATATATTTTAAGAACCTATGTGGGACATTGCTACCCTCGTACCATGGTCTCTCTAATGCCTATCCTTGCTTGTAATTAAACATATTTAACAGCTGGAAATAAGAATGTAATATAGAAGTAATTGCTAAATCAAAAACATTTGAAATCTTTCTTATTTTTGGAATAAACCAAGGTACAGATAATATAGAATTCCTTGCTAAGTGATATGAGTCATTGTGCCCATAGATCATCAAAGCATTCTAATAATTCAAATCATTTGTTGAATTTTAGAAATTATTGGTGGGCTCTTTTGTTTGATGTCACTGTTACTAGTTCAAAGATGCTGCTATCTGGGGGCGCCTGGGTGGCTCAGTCGGTTGGGCGACTGCCTTCGGCTCAGGTCATGATCACAGGGTCCTGGGATTGAGTCCCACATCGGGCTCCCTGCTCGGCGGGGAGTCTGCTTCTCCCTCTGACCCTCCTCCCTCTCATGCTCTCTGTCTCTCATTCTCTCTCTCAAATAAATAAATAAAATCTTAAAAAAAAAAAAAGATGCTGCTATCTGAACTACAACTGGACAGAGGGAGCCTGATTTCTCCCCATTAAATTGGTAGTATTCGGTTCCTGCTGGTACTGTGTTGCTGCTGGTGAGGGGCTGCGCACTCTGAGTCTCCATCCAGACACCTGACCCAACCAGTGTCACTCCCACCTGTCTGCTCGGTTATGGGCCTTGCCACCCTCATCAACTCTGGGCCACTCCAGAGCAGCAGATACGGGACGTGGATGTTTCTGTTATTGGCCATCTCAGTCCACTCTGCAGCTGCTGAGAGTCGCCCTCACCTGCAGGCACTAAACACCTGGGCTCAGTATCCGACATCATTTACCATCTGGTACGGAAGCCCTGTATTTCACTACTCGTGTGGCCAGGATGTTTGTAGAGGTGCTTACCAGCTGAATAGCAGCACTGCCCAGCAGGCTCGGGTCTTCATAGCTAACTCCGTGGTGAAAGTCTAATTTTCTTAAATTAGCCAAGTAATCATCTAGAGCCTGCATCATAATTTCTAGAAACTTGGCTTTGACACTCGGGAACTGAAATGAGAAGGCCAAATAGACAACTACTTACACTGTCCAATTTCCATGAATCAAATAAAAATAAGTGCTTAGTACAAAGCAAGAACTAGCTATCTTTTATCGCATTTAATCCTTCTATCATCTCTGTTTTGAGATATCATTATGATCATTTTATAGGTGGGAAAACTGAAGCACAGAAGAGTTGATGAAATTGCCCAAGGACCAGTACCCTGGAGGGAGAAAAGACAGAATTAAAATTCTCATGACGTGTCTTCCGAGTCTGTGCTTTTAACCACTGGGCTCTACTGTCTTCCTAGTAAGTAAAGTCATTTTCTCTAAAGGACCAGCTCTGTGTGGTGAAATGCACAGAACTCTCGTCTCATCACTTACTGGTTGAACCATTAGCAACACTATTGCATCACTGTAAATTTCCATTTTCTCACCTCTAAACTGAAAAGCATAAAACTTTCCTTGAAACAGTTGTTATAAGAGTTAGATAATATAATTCATATCATAATTCTATTGTACCTGGAACATAAAAGTACATCTATTGTACCTGGAACATAAAATTCTATTGTACCTGGAACATAAAAAGTACATCTATTGTACATGGAACATAAAAAGTCTTTGATGAATATCAGTTCTACAGTCTAAATACAATGCCTCTCAGTGCTGTGAAGGCAATTGCCCAGATCTGGTTCCTTGCCATAATTATAATGACAATCATTCTCTAACTACTTCATGCAAGCTTAATAAGGTGGCAGGCACTGTTCTTAATCTTTCACTTACATTGATTTGTTTGATCTCAATTACCTTCAATATGCATGAGATGTTATTATTATTACCATCCCCATTGTACAGGTGAGGAAATAGGAGCAAGAAAACGAAGAAACTTGCCCCAGGTCACACACAGAGAGTGAGTGGTAGGGCCTGGATTTTCACACAGACAGTCTGGCTCCAGAGTCTGCACTCTTAGCCATTCTGTTCATTCTTAGCATTTACTAGGGTTTCAATAAATATTTGTAGAAAGAATGTATAATTCCTAAAATTGCACAATGATTATTTCTCTCGTTAGCTTTATGCCTTCCAATCCCGAAGTAATATGAATCCTAACCGTAGACTGCTATGATTTTTGACTCGAACTCATGAATTTGTTTATTGGTCCCATAAGGATAACAGATTTTGATAGAATAAGAGAGAGAAAATCACAAACAACAACAAATACGACTAACAGAGACCCATTTAAGAAGCTATATTAAAACATGAGATTCCAAATTTGGGTTCCAAATTTTCAGCAAATGGGTAAAATAAATTACAAATCAGAAAATAATTGAATTGCCATTCATCTTTTGGTCTGGATTGTCTCCGGAATGAATCAAATTATTGTAAATAATTGTGCATTTTACAAAAGGAAAATCTTCTTTGATAAAAATATATTTTTGATTACTTCACCTAGATTGTCCTTCAACTGACTGGCAATTTAGAACTTGTTTATACATCATTGTCCAAGTTAGCCATCTGAGAACTGTTAGATACAAATACTAATAAGCCTAGTTCTTCCTAAACATAAAAACCCATTCTTTGCCATGGTTCTTTAATATCTGTTGGTACTTTTGAGGACTTAACACAAAAAAGTATAAGTCCAAAACAAACTTCTAAATATCTTCAATGATTTTTAAAAGATAAAGCTTCCCTGATTAGATCTATTTTCTCCCCTTTATTGATATTATCAGTGAAATCATTCCATGTGTTAAATTTGCCACTAAATTTTCTCACATTTACTGTGTTGAGGACCCATAAACCTGACAAATGGGAATTGATTTTAACTATACTATCCTTTATGGTGGTAAGAATTCCTTTTAGACCTGAGAGGTTGTCTAATTGACCAAAGTCACATAACTAGTAATTTCTGAAGCTAAGCATCATCCCAAGGCCATCTCAACCCAATGCTGCAGTACTAAGTACTCCACATGTGTCCAAATGTCCGACTATCCAAAAAGTGTTCCATGGGTAAGGAAAGGATCTAAAGACTGTCAGGCCTTAACAAACTAATAACCCAGAATTTTGGCACACATCAATTTTTGAAGCCAAAGTTCTTCAGGAGAGATGTAAACAATGCTCATTTCTTTAGGTCCAATTTTGAACTCTTGGGTGAAAAATAACAAATGAGAAATCAAGTACAACCTATTTTGAGCTTCAGACATGCTTTCAAGCGGAAAATTCAGAAGTCGTTTAGAAAGACAAACTACACACTGGTACGATCATGGGTTCTGGAGTCAGGCCATCCTAGGATAAGTCTTGCCTCTCTCTTTATTGAATCTCCTCTTAGGTCTCCTCATTTTTAAGGAATGCTGTAAAAATTAAAAAGAAGGAACACATGTAAAGTGCTGAATACAGTGCCTGGCCGAAAACTCTCCAACCCTCCCCCAGACCACCCATCTGCCAGCTATTTGAAGGTGGGCAATTCACATACTTCACATACTGCCTCAATTTCAATTCTTATGTAAAAATAGGAAATACAATACAAATTTTAAGGGTTTGTTTTAAGAGTTAGGAAACATACAAAATTTCTGACATTTAGGAGGGACTTAATAAATAGTAATTGTGATTAGTATTAAGCAAGTCTCAATTCTGCAACATATACCATGTATGTATATAGTGTATCATGTTTAAATTTTACTCTACAATTTTTAAAAGAGCTCTTGCAAAGCTAAAATGCAGCAGGGAAAGTGAACTTGTACCTCTGCAATGTTGATGTGTATTTGAATGAGGAAAATAGTTAAATAAATCCCGTTATTTTAGCTTAAATATTTTCAGAAGCAGTCAAAGTACAGTCCTAGAGGAGAAGCTGTTTTCAAAGGTCAGGCATCCAAATGATTTCTTTAAAGGTATCTTCAAAAGCTCCACATTATACAAAAGGCACAAACTCCTCCTTTTGGGTTCTGAATTAGTCAAGCAGAATACTTTATAATTTAAAAAGCAATTTTCGGGCGCCTGGGTGGCTCAGTTGGTTAAGCGACTGCCTTCGGCTCAGGTCATGATCCTGGAGTCCCGGGATCGAGTCCCGCATCGGGCTCCCTGCTCAGCAGGGAGTCTGCTTCTCCCTCTGACCCTCCCCCCTCTCATGCTCTCTCTATCTCATTCTCTCTCTCAAATAAATAAATAAAATCTTTTAAAAATAATAAAATAAATAAATAAATAAAAAGCAATTTTCATATCTCTGTGTTCTGGATGTTCCTTTTGATTCTTTTGAATTCCTCTTCTTGATTTTTGGCCCTTTGAACTATGGTCAGTGTTGAAATGATTCATGATTTTGTCCCAATAAGGGAGGACTTCTTGAAGTCTTTCTTGTCTTTTCTTGGTTTTACTTCTACTCAACACAATACTCTTTGGTGAGAAGCACCACCTGAGCATGAGAAACTATTTTTTTAAAGCTTGTTACTTTGTTGAACACTATAGAAAAATAATAAAAATTTGACTTATAAAAATAAAAGTACTAGCTATATTCTCCCCAAACTTAAGCAAACAAAACATGCAAATTACAAGCTAATGTGGTTTCATTGTCAGCCCTTATGAAGGCACAAGATGGCTACGGCATATCCAGATCCTTCATCTTCATCGCAGAAGAATGACACCAATGTACGAAGTCCCAGATCCATTTGGATTGGAGCTTCATGGATGGGTTTGAGTCACAAGCTCATCCCCAAATTTGTGCTAGAAGGATGGCCTTTGTTGATTGGCTTAGGCCTAGGTTACAATCCCTCCCTTAACTGGTCAGTGGGGTCCATCAAACCACCTAGTCAGAGAGGGGGAAAGAGTTGGATCCCTAAACGAAAATCAGGGGTGACTGCCATACAAGTCAACAATCAATGTCTATCATTAGACATACATACTATTTACAGAATCAGTTCAAGTTTCTCTCTCATGACGAGAAGGTTAGTTCCTGAGGGCAGGGTTACCATCCCAGCCCCTGACATGCAATAGGCATCAAAATAGTACATTTCTGCAAGCTTTCTTCCCTTTAGGTTTCTTCTCAGCACAGTAGGCAAAGTGATCTTGTAAGGGTACAAATTAGATCTTGTTGCTCCTAGTGTCTTTCCAGTTCACGCCAAGTAAAAGCCAAACTGACTGCAAATGACCCAAAGGGCACCACATCCCACCACTGCCCTCATCTCCTATTTCTTTATCTATGCTCTGCTCCAGCCAGTCTGGCCCCACCACTGCTCCTGTGTCCAGCTTCCAGTGTCCCTCTGCCTGGATGGCTCTTCCTTCAGATAGGAAGGAGGCTCACGCCTTCTCCTCAAATTCCCTTCAGTTAACCCCTTCCCAGCCAGCCTAGCTCTGTTCTATCTACTCCATAAACTCCCATTCCTTCTTCCCTGCTGCCTTTATCACCACTGAAAACACCTATGTTATTTATTATGTTTGTTGTTGTTCCCATCACTAGAATGTAAGTGCCGTGAGGTCAACGGCTTCAGACGTTGTACTTCATGACTCTATCCATTGAGTAAATATCCACTGAATGACTGGACAATGTTCATTCATTCCCTCAGGCCTTAGTGTGGGAAATGTCCCTGGCACTCCATGTCCTGGGAAAAGTGAGGAACTCCTATCCTGTACTTCAATAGCACTTTCTCCATCACTCTTGTCTCCACAACATGGATGCTTTTACCCTCACTCACTTGTGTTTCCCTAATGCCTAGCACAGTGGACATGCTCAGTAGATATGTAAATAAAGTTGCGTGAATAACGGATGTTTTGAGTGTAGCATTAACGGTGAATACTCAGAGAGATTTCAGGAAATCTTATATTGTACTGAATTGTCAGTTATCCCAGAGAGAATAGTAAATTCACATGAAAGCAAATTTTGTCATGTGACTATTTGGGCTATTATATCATCCCACTCACAAGAAGTTAGGTATAGGCCCTGATGAGCTTACTCTAAATCAAACCAAAGACTCAAACTTTTTCTAGCCACTTCTGTTGCCTATTTTTCCTTCAATGCCCTTCCCCAACATACACACGCACACACACACACACACACACACAACCTGAGAGTTAATCATCTAATACAGCATATTGCAGCAATACATTCATTAACATGAGTATAGTGACAGGAACTATAAAAACTGCTAAGTCTCTGTTGCTTTCACAAAGTATTCTGAATAGTGGAATAAGAGGTAGAAGTCTGATCTAACATGAGAGAGGGTGGGAGGGAGGAGGGAAAGGCCCAGAGGGGATGCAGCTACGTAGACTCCCACTTTGGTCCAGTAAACCAGGCTGGCCTCCAGCATGACTCAATTTGAACCCCCCTCAGAAGACTTGGCTGACATTACTTCCTGCCCCAGTCAGAGTTGGCTCAAGAACTGGAACAGGCCAAAACCTGCTAAAGAGCCCATTAGTAGATCCAACAGGAACTGGGGGCAGGGAAAGAGGAATAAGGCAAGAACTGAAACTTTCTGTTAAAACAATATTAATTTCCCATAAATGTCATCTTTTATCAACAGAGCTCACATTGAAGACTTGTGAAAGGTCTGAAGTTCTAAAAAGGATATTTTGTGCTGGACACTCTTCCATACCTAATATATCCAATATAAGACCCAGGATAATGTTAAATTTCTAACAATTATAAACTTGAAAGTTTTAGAACATCAAAAGTTCCCCAAAACACAGGGTCCACAATAATCTGACCCAGTTATTCTAGTCCACCAAGACTATATATGAGTAGTTTAAAGATATCTTGTTTAGACATTTGACTACATCTTTAGAGAAACAAATACATCTATAAATGTCCAGTGAATTGGGACAGAAGCCAGTTACATATGCAATTGCACTGAGAAACAAATGTAGGTCACTCAGAACATCAGCTTCCAATACTGCTTTTAAGACCTTCTAGGTAAACACTGAATTTTTAAAAATTGCAGTGCTATCTACCTAGAGTATTGGGAAACTTCTTGATTTTCTTGGATGATAATACTATTACAATATGTCAGAAAAGACATCCTGAGAGAGTGGAGATAATTCATTTAATCCTCGTGACAGCTCTATAATGGAGGCATGTTAACGTTATCCCCCCATGTATAGAACTGAACAAACAGAGGCACAGGGAAAGTAAGTAGCTGTCCTCACACAGCGAGCCCCCTGCAGAGCCAGGACTTAAACCCACACTGCTGGCTCCTAAGATAATGATGTCAACCATCTCACTGTCCATCTTCTCAGTGAGTAATAGCCATTTTTAGTCATCACTGAATCCTTCCAGCATGGAGATTAAGAGATTCTTAAATTGAAAAGCCAAAGATGCTGCTTAGGCATTCAAGGCTATCCTCCACCCTTTGAAAAGAGCTAAATCTCAGTAAATTACTGCCTTGCTGGAAGCATGTTGGGCCATCTGTATGTCCTTCCCAAATTCCCATTCTGTGATGATGTGCTACTTTTTGGTTGTTCTTGGCCTTGGCTCTTATTCATATGTCACACTATTATATTTGTTCTATTTGGCTCTTGGATCTTCCTCTCGTATCAGAAAAATGACTTTGCTTCACATGTCTAATGTGACTTATCTCTCAGAACACACTTAGGATCTGCTTCTCTCTGTTCTGCAGCTGAGATAAAACAATCTGGAGACCTAGAATCAATTTGAATATTGACAGTTCCATAAACCAATATACAATATGCTGGAGTGTCTTACAGACACATTTTTCCCCATGGGCCATGAGTATTTATGTTTAGGAACATTCTAAATGATTTTATAACAATTTCTCAAAATGACTGAGCTCATCCTTAGGCTCTTCTCAAATCTTCTGAAAAGTGACAATTCTGTGCCAGGCATTTGCAACTTACAAATTAGCTCTCCTTTGGCTATTTAAGCTTCGTTGAATTGTAGAATGGAGATTTATGCAGATGTCACTGTCCTATATCATTCTAAACCAGTCAGTGGCTTACTGGGAGAGGTTAAATAGCCACCATTGTCAGCTTTCTTTATGTCCCAGCTATGATTTTTATGAGCAACGGCGCCAAGAGTTACAAAAAGGGAGCCTGGACATCTCACTCACTGGTCTCTAACCAGATTTAGCTAAAACTTAACAGACAATTATTATTTTGACTTTGGAATTAATTCAACAAATATCTGTTAAATATAAATTATACACAAAGTGAGGTGGTAGGGTGTGGAGATACAAGAACAAACCATAATAGTAATAGTAATGGTAATAGTTACTATTTTTACATCTTTCTATGCTGAGCACTAAAAATTTATTTATTGCCTTTGATCCTCATAACATTATAATTATATTATGATGATCCTATTACCTCATTCTATAATGAGGAAACTGAGGCACAGTGAAATAAGTTATCCAAAATCACACAGCTAATATGTGAAGGAGCTAGATTCTAATTCTGACTTCAGTCTGAATCCAGGGTCCTCACTTTGACCACTCCATGTACACACTTATTTATAGACTAGAGATGAAATAGATGTGCATTTAAATAATTTTATTTATTTAGGACTGTTTCTGCTTGTTCTTGGCTCACGAATTTAAAAATCCCTCTCTGGGGGCGCTTAGGTGGCTCAGTCCGTTCAGCAGTCTACACTGAGAAGTATGGGAGCCATTACTCTCCAGTTATTTTAAGGCAGCAGAACAGATAGAAGCATCTTATCCATGACTATGTGACCTTGGGTCTTGTATTATAAGTTGTGTTGACTAAGGCCTCAGAGTGAAGGAAACAACGGCTGTTGTTTGTTGTTCGTTTACCACTGTAGATCCTGCCGTGTAGGGTCACATACTACTTCCCCTCCCACCAATGTGTTACCATTGGAGCTTCTCACTGGACTGTCATCAACCCGACTGAAAAAGGTTTCCCTGAGATACAGGTGGCTATGGACTACTGGGCAATTCTGTCCATGATTGGTAATGTTTTTATTTCTTTTCGGTTATTAGAGCTGTTGACTAGAGAGTTAAAGCCTAGAATCATGGCCAGATACCAAAGAGCTTTGCAGGCCATGCTGAAGAGTTTAGGATTTATATCTTATATCATTTTATTCCAAATGCTTGACACTCTAACATGGTTTCTTCCCAAGGGCTAGCCACATATTTATACTAACATTTGATAAAGTCTCTCTCTCCTTGGCCAAACCTGAGTCAGATTCCTCAGAGACCCTTTTTGATTAGGTCCCAACCTTAGGCTCTGTCCTTGGCGGACTTAGGCCGGTCTTAGCAAGAATCCTACTGGGTCAGTTTAATGATATCTAATCACTCTGGCTTACCTTCCGCAAGAATCCTGTCCTGACAAACCCCCTTAGCTTTGGTATTCCCTCTTAGTAATTTTCCATCCACTGTCCCCCATCCTGTACTTTGGTTATAAATCTCTACTTATCCTTGTCCTATTTAGAGATAAACCCAATCTCTCTTCCTAATGCAAAACTCCCTTGACAAAAATATTTCCTACCATCTTTAGCAAGTATCCTGAAAAATTTTTCGTTAACACTTTTTAATGCTTTTCTTCTGTTTCATTAAAAATATCTTTTGGAATCAACCACTTTTTGTGAATTTTTGATTCATTGTGACAGCTGTGCCATGTGTTCCTGCAGAATTTTAAACTTCATACCATTACCTTTCCAAATGTTCACAGAACCAAAAGAAATTGATTTTTAAAAATACAGACTCAGTAGAATTTTATCTAGTAAAGCTGCTTGGAATATTTTATAAATAATGGTCTGAAATCTGTCAAGTCCCATAATTAAGCTTGCAAATAAACTCATAATGATTGTCAGTTTTCTTTGATAAAGAAGTAATACTCAACAGTGTAAAAAAAAATTTGGTCTGTAAGTAAACTCAAAGTCAAGTAAAAGAGCTGAGCATCTTTAATTTGGAAAAGAAACATTAGGGCTCCAATCAACTTGTAAACTTATGCCGTTTTTCCTCAACATGATATTGTAGTTAAAGTAGTTTTAAAATCTTTTTAATTTAAGAAATTTTCACATAATAAAGATGTTGTTTTGAAAACTGTATTTCAATCCAGAAAGTGAGACTTATTATAATCATACCAAAAAATAATATTTCCTTTCACTAGAATAGATTTTCATGTTTTCTTCTTACTTTCTGAAAATACGCGTTGGTAGGTTATAACCGATGGACCAAACCCAGAGAATGGAGAAGACCAGTGGAATAGTTAACATTCCACTTTCCTGCCTTAATCTCCTTAATCTGATTGTTCAGATCACTCATACAAGGGTCCTAAACCACATTTAAATTACTACCCGGGGGGCATTTCTAACTACTAATGAGATAAACAGGATGTGTTGGTTGTAATTCTAAGAGGCTTGCATAACTCAGCTAGGGCCTCTGGCAGTTAGCTTACCAAGCTGTTTTTAGACTTCAGGATCTTCTCTTCTTTTTCTTCAAGAACTTCAAGCATAGGAGCAGACTCATTCCATATAAACTCTACCTAAAGTCTACTTTTAAAGCTGGCATGAGGTTGACAGACCCCTCTTGCAAGGATATTATTTTATGGGTGATTCCAACTTTTACTACAGGGAGCTGTGAGTAGACTTTCTCCAGAGGATGAAGAAGGATTCCAAAAGATTTTGTTGTGTAAGTTCCTGAAACTATGATTTGATTTTCTAGAATTATGAAAAAAATCAAGCATCAAATATAAATAATAAATAACCACTCATGCACCCACAACTGAAATTTATCAAATGTTGGCATTTTTGCCTTAATTTTTTTAAAATCTTTTTTTAAATAAAGTATTTCAGATTGTTGAAGCTTACAGTGTACCCTTTCCCCAGTTTACTTTCTTTCCTTCCCAGATGTAACCACTATCTTAAATTTGTAGCCAATTATGCCCATAAATATTTTATAATTTCATCACAAATATATATATTCATTAACAATATGTTGTATCTTTTGTATGTTTTAAAGAATTCTATTCTACATATATAATCTTTGTATACTTAAAATTATATGCCATATATATAATTTCGGTTGGTATGTTTTTAATGTTCCATATTGTTTTATACCCATTTTCCCCTGCTGATGGACATTTAGGTAGTTTCCAACTTTTTCCCATTATAATAATTCGATTTAGGTAGTTTCCAACTTTTTCCTATTATAATAATTTGACTTTGATGCTTTCAAGTTGAATGCAAACAATTTCGCAGAATGTCAACATCAAACATGGCCATTCCATGGTGGTGATGGATCAGACCACAATTAGCAGTGCTTACTACACAGTTAAGTAACTCATGCCTGAATATAGACAAAAACATGAACACTGGTCAACAAAAATGACCAAACATCCCTCTCCAGCTAATATGACTGACAGCTTCTTCTGTATCAATTACATCTTTAGACTCATTCTAGACTTCTCTCCTTCTAAATAAGACTTAATAAAATACATGATCATTCATTTGTCCCACTCCTATACAACTCAGAGTGAAGCCACCCTTCTTAAGCCCTCTCCCAAACCACCTAACACAAGGCTAAATCCACAAGGTCTTTCTAGCCCCTCTTACTTGAGTACCTCCCGGTTCTCCAAAGTGAGCATCGTCCTTCGTGCAACAAGTAAGAAACCCAAATTGTTCAACCCTGGGTATGTTCCTGGTGGACTGTGACTGGAGAGCATGGACACTAATGAGGCTGAACATCTTTTCACACTTACACTGGTCAGAATAACCATCAGAGGTGCAAGTTGATTTTGTCTCCAAGATAATCAGAGAGGCCAAAGCTCTCTAGGGTCTACTTTTGTTTTGTTTTGATTTTTTCTGAATTGTCTGTTTAGCCCTTTGACCATTTTTCCATTGCCTTATTTTTTCATTTTGTTATATATTTATAGTTCTTCATATTTTCTAGAGATAAAAACCTTCATCGATTATACTGAAAATGTATATTTTTATTTAGTCATCCTTATAGATATTTTAATGGTATACGATCCTTGTGACCCAAGAAATTCTTCCCTATATAAAGGTCAGGAATATATTCTATTTTTCTTCTATTTCTAATACTGAAGTTTTTCTTTTTTTACAGTTTCACTACTAATCTCCTGCAATTTATATTTGTGTATGGTGAAAGGTAATAATATGATTTCATTTTTTCCCAATCTGAGTAACAAACTATTCTTTTCTTTTTTTAAGTAGGCTCCACACCCAGTGTGGAGCTCAATGCATGGCCCGAACTCACGACCCTGAGATCAAGAGCTGAGCTGATATCAAGAGTCAGATGAGTAACCAACTGAGCCATCTAGGTGCCCTGAATGACAAACTATTCTGATAAAATATATTGGATAGTCTTTCCTTTCTCCATCCCTTTACCTGACATTTATCAAGTTTCTAAAGTTGTGTGAATCTGGTTCTTGATTCTATCCTGTCTTATCCTAATATACATTAATTTACACTGTTTTCATCATCATTGTGCCCTATTCCTTTCCTTCAAAACACCTATAATTTGTAGTTAAATGTTTATGTGTAACATCTAACTTCCTCATTAGACATTAAGTTCTACATGGTAGACTCTGTTTTGCACAGTGCCCCACACACAGTAGAGACTCAGTGTATATTTATTGAATAAATGGATAAATTAGTGGAAGAATAAATTAATATTAGAATAGAGCCAAAATATGAAGTCAAATGATCTGACCTTTATTTGCCTGTGGCCCCCTGCATGTCCAGTTCTCAACTCTTCTGATTTGGGCAGATTATTGGGGTTCTACAGATGCCTTCTCAATTTACTTCTTTTTGTTTTTGCTGTTCCTCAGAAAGAAGAGTTCCAAGTTTGGTCTTATTGCTTCATTTTTATTGCATCCCACCTATATTTTATCAAAACAGAGATACTTAAATTTTCATGCAGGTGAAGATTTTCTTATTTTTTCTTTCATGCTCTTCAAAGTTTTCCCTGGTATTTGCAACAACTCCTTCCTTTATATAATAATTCCTTCATAATAACAACCCTAATACTAATATAGTGAGTACTATGGGCCAGCGTCTGCTCTATATACACTGTAAGTATATTAGCTCATCTAATCTTCACAAATATACCATGGGGTATGTGCTCTTTTTATAGAGGAGGGAACTAAGGCACAGAGAATTGAAGCAGCTTGCCTAAGGTAACCCAGCCACTGCATGGTTAGAACAGGATGTGAACCCAGGCAGTTTGGATTGGGGAAAGGAGAGAATTTAAAGTCTGTGTTTGTAACTTATTTTATATAGACATTGCTGATTCTATACTTTAAAATGTATTTCTAATCATATTACTTTTATAAAGGTAATTTGTTAATTACATAAGGGGGGTATCCAGGGGATGGATCTTGCTTCATTCCTGGAAACTGGAGCTGGCCTCTCCAAGCCTGCACAGTTATGGCTTAAAATCCTAAAGGAAGAAGGATCCTCCCTCTTTCAGAATCTCTATATTAAATAGTATCACACATACACATGCACAGATATACATTAGCTTTTATTCTCTTCTCTGAATTACCTGTTTCCTCTCGAGCAGATGTTCTCGAGTGTTCAACTGATAAGCTTCCTTTTGCATTGCATGGGCTGGGAGCTGGCAGGTGAAATCAGGACTAACCACCACTAACCCCCCTAACTTGCCCTCCTCTGCATAGTTTTTCATCTCTTTTAGAGGATATTTGTTTAGCCTGCTCTTAAGGTCTTTGTATGCATTAGAGTTGGGGTTGGAGTTTGTAGATTTAGTTTGTATTTAATAATATCTTGTTTTCCAACAAATGTTAGCAAGGATGTGGAGAAAGGGGAAACCTCTTACACTGTTGGTGGGAATGCAAGCTGGTGCAGCCACTCTGGAAAACGGTATCTTGAGGTTCCTCAAGAAGTTAAAAATAAAGCTACCCTATGATGCAGCAATTGCACTACTAGGCATTTATCCCAACGATAGAAATGTAGTGATCTGAAGGGGCACCTGCACCCCAATGTTCATAACAGCAATGTCCACAATAGCCAAACTGTGGAAAGAGCCGAGATGTCCATCGACAGATGAATAGGTATATATATATACACACACACACTATACACACACACACACAATGGAATATTACTCAGCCATCAGAAAGGATGAATACTTACCATTTACATTGACGTGGATGGAACTGTAGGGTATTATGCTGAGTGAAATAAGTCAATCAGAGAAAGACAATTATCATATGGTTTCACTCATATGTGGAATATAAAAAAAGGGCAGAGGATCATAGGGGAAGGGAGGGAAAACAGAATGGGAAGTCATCAGAGAGGGAGAAAATCCATGAGAGACTCTTAACTATAGGAAACAAACTGAGGGTTGCTGGAGGGGAGGTGGGTGGGGGTATGGGATAACTGGGTGATAGGTGTTAAGGAGGGCACGTGATGTGATGAGCACCTGGTGTTATACGCAACTGATAATTTATTGAACACTACACCTGAAACTAATGATGTACTGTAAGTTGGCTAATTCAATTTAAATTAAAAAAAGGAAAATAAATAATACCTTGTTTTCAAGCATACAGTCCCTTAATCAATTTATAGCCTTTTTTTCCCCCTCCCATCACTGTCCCAAACAGAAATAGTGGAGGTTCTATCAGGAAGAATGAATTCCCACTGGTTTGTGCTTCAGAAAGTTTTAAATCTCACACCTATCTTTCAGTTGGGATTCCTCATCATCTCTGGGCCACTGATATCCCTGTGCTGTTATAGACTTATTTTCTTTAGTGCATCTTTACTGTACTTTAATGAGGTTGAGGGGCATGGTAAATTAAACACATATGCTCTATCTGCCATCTTGAACTGGTGATCAGAATAGAAATAATTTACAAATCCTTGAGAGAGATTTCAAATTTCCTTAGATGAGTCATTTGACTTTTACAAGTATAGAAAAATTAATTTATAAATGAATACCCTAAACAAAATAGAGCCATCTACTATAACATAACTAGAAGTATGCCAAAGTTCACAAACTAGGTAATATTTTGCAGGAGATTTTTGTGATTTCCCACTTGCTTCTAATACGTTCTGCCCCTTGATTTCATTTGCTCATTTTATTTTGGAATTAATTCTAAAGGGTGGTGTGAGCTCCTTTTTTCCAGAAAAGGTGAAACAAAGAATAAAACATTTTTCTAAAAATGTACTAAGGTAGCAATGTATATATATATTTTTAAAGATTTTATTTATTTATTTATTTGAGAGAGAGAGAAACAGCATGAGAGGGGAGAGGGTCAGAGGGAGAAGCAGGCTCCCCACTGAGCCGGGAGCCCGATGTGGGACTCGATCCCAGGACTCCGGGATCATGACCCGAGCCGAAGGCAGTCGCCCAACCAACTGAGCTACCCAGGTGCCCCAGCAATGTATATTTTTAAAAATCTGTCCACAGCCTTTAACATAGCTAGTTCGATCTATCAACCTCAAGGCAAAGTATAGGAAATTATTTTTAGTAACTTTTTTTACTGATTATAAAAGTAGTTCATGTTCATTAGAGAAAATTGGGGAACACATACAAGCCTAATGAATGAAATAAAAACAAAAATATCTCCTAATTCTATCATTAGAATGAAGAATTTCTTGAATCTCTGCTTGACCTGTGACTTCTCAACGTGTTTAATAATGATGCCAAGGAATGGTTCAGACATTTTGCTCATCTGGTCTTACTAATGATCAGTCAGTAAGTTGCTTTCTCATAATCATACAGAAAGCTGCCCTAATGAAGACTGTAGAATCACTTTTCTTTTTCAAAGGCATAAGTTAGGCTCTAAAAGATTTGACAAATTATAATTCTTTTAAACATTCTCTCTTTCTCTCTCTCTCTCGATCAAAATAGGGATTCTTCAGCCATTTGGTACTGACTCTAAACGTCAGCAATTCCAAACCTGGTTTGTCTGTATTTTTCCTCTTTTTGTTTGTGCAAGTAAGATTTGAAAAATGCATGTGGGTTTTGAAACTCCTGCTGCGCCAGCCACGATTTCCCATAAAAGGGGGAACATTTATTTGTGTATATGAAGTCCTGGACAGCAGTACTTGGTCAGACGTGAGACAGATGTATGTGTGCACAGCTGTTTGTGTTTAAGGACAGAATACAGACATAAATAAGGTTAGATATCCTTGGTTTGATGCTAGAATATTTTCATACACCATATTCAAAGGAATATCTGTCATAACTGAAAACAAGGGGAAATTTATCAGAAACAGAGCACAGACCCTTTCCCCAGAGCCAGGATAAACAAAACCAATATGGGTCTATCAAGCTATGGTCTTGTAAAATAAACTTCATTGTACAAAAGAAAACCACCTTATTTATTCATAAAAATATTGTCAGATATTAAAGTCAGATAGGACTGTCTTCTATGAAATTAAAGAGTAGAGCTAGAGTTTTCTGGCTTGTCTGTCGGTATCAGCATTACCATTATGTTTGAAGCTAATAACTCTAGAAAAGAATGCTTCATGAAAGAGGACCATGGCTGTTTTTGCCAGTAAGCTTCCTTTCCTAAGATAGACTAGCAACCTTTTTCTTTTCTATTAGAAAAAAAGTTTATTTTGAAACAAAACTGCTGCTTCTATGGTATATTCCAATGCAAAATAATTCCCAGAAAGATGTTTTTCTCTGCATGACACAAAAAGCACAGAATAAAAATGACAAATCTGAGACCTAAGGTCACAGAGATTTTTAGTCTTAGAATTTATTTTACAGCTATGATGACCCAGAAATTTGAGGAGTGCCTCAGAAAAAAAAAAAAAAGGCCAACAGGGAATTTTGCTAATTGCTTTATTTATTTAAATTCTAACTCCTTGGCCTAATCTAATTAAGAACAATCATTCACATTACACGCTAGCTGGGTAAAATAATTTATTTGTAAAGCAAAATTCATTCAAATGAATTTTTCTAATGGATGGTCTAAATAATACTCATTTTCACACTATATCAGCCAAGATTTTCACATCTCAAACTCTCCTTTCCCTCTCCCCAGGTTTTCCCTCCAGGAAAATCCCATTAAAACTTCAGAGCAGGCCTTCAAAGTAACTGCACACTTTGTTTAGAAGGTACTCTTATTTTGATGAAAATCCTAAAACAATTCCTTTAAAGGGTTTGTTTAAAAGAATCCAAGACACAGAGATATCCATAAGACTGAAATGCTACACTTTATTTACATAAGTTTGGACTTTGAAGAAGTGTTTTGTTTTGTTTTCTTGTCAACCCAATAAATCATATTGAGAATCATGGGTGACTTACAATGTTCAAGACCCAAAGAAGACAACTTAGTCTGTCCTTTTAACCTCACTCTGGTAACTTGGCCATTATTAGTTTAAGTCATATGATGAAAACAGAGGACTAAAAAATAGAATTTGCTGTTGCAATCTTTGCCTGGATAATTAAGGTATTCCACACTGTGTCTAAAAGTGGATACTTGCTAAACTTTTATAGGCCTTCAAAAATTATAAAATCTCTTTGATACATATCTATATCACTTGTGTAACATAATTTTTAGAAGTACATATTTTGTGTCATTATATATACAGAAAAATATAACAGGAAAACAACTTGAAAAGGGAACAAAATTATGGAGCAATGAAAAGTCCTTTTTCCCCCCCATAAACTTGAAATTAATACATGAAGTAATGTTAGAAAGAATTTTATACTATAAAATAAGATGTGCTTTTTATTGCCATAGATAAACGGTAGCATCATAATTTGGAGGGGGGACGATTACCCTAAAGACTTAAATATTTTCAAGAGGAAGCTTTTAAGTTATATTTTGTATAATTTGTGTATGTTCATTTTCTGATTTGATTATTTTATTCTCAATCTATTGTCACTCAGAGTATTGTGTCAACAATAAAGACTGAAAGCTGCTAGCAGAGAAAGAAAATTTGCAAATTTACAAGGTAAAACACTCTTTCAAGTCAAAGGAAAAACCATGCAATCTATGGTGATGCAAAGGATTTTTCTGACACCTGCTTAGTGCCACGCCCACCAGCATAACACTGACAACACCTCATAACAATGGCTTATTTGCTTGTCTGTCCTTACCCCGCTTCCTATGTACTGTGAGCTCCACGAAGGAAGACAAGACCATATCTTAAGTCATTCTTTTCTTCCACACACTTGGACAATGTTAGTTTTCAGATAAAAGAGCCAGTTCTCCCAACATGGAAAATAAGAAAAATGTGTCACATTCCATCTGCTGGTGTCCCCACTCCCGAGAGTTCTGTGTGGAGCCTCCTTCATATCACTGGAGCATCATCACTCCATCCTGCTTCCACAGACATGTGTCATAAATAGACCCTCTTCTTTGGTCCCTCTCCCTATGACCCCATGCCGACACAGACACACACACACACAGACACACTCACACACATACACATACCATTTACTCTAAGATCCCTGAGTCACCAGGAGAATAACTGGATTGGGCTCTGATTTCTCCTCACTGGGCCTGAGCAGTCTCTCTGAAGCCCACCCTTTGGTGCATTTGACTCTAGAGTTTTGTCCAGTGGCTACTTCCCTGCCATGACCCATCAGTGGCTTGCCTACCCAGCTCCTGGCCAATGAGATGTGAGTGTGGTAGAAAAGAGTGACTGAGAGCTGTGTCCACCTCATTTTAAAAGAACTATCCCAAACATACAGTAAATTATGATATAATGAATATCTGTGTGTAATCACCACCAGTCCTATTAAATCTCAATATTTTGCCATATTTTCCTCAGATCTCTTTCCTTTTTTTATTTTTTAAAAAGATTTTATTTATTTATTTGACAGAGAGAGAGAGAGAGACAGTGAGAGAGGGAACACAAGCAGGGGGAGAGGGAGAGGGAGAAGCAGGCTTCCCACTGAACAGAGAGCCCAGTGTGGGACTCAATCCCAGGGTCCTGGGATCATGACCTGAGCTGAAGGCAAACACTTAACAACTGACCCATCCAGGCACCCCTTCTTTCCTTTTTATTTTTTTTTTTTTTTTTTTTTTTTTTTTTTTTTTTTTTTTAAAGATTTTATTCATTTATTTGAGAGAGAATGAGATAGAGCATGAGAGGGGGGAGGGTCAGAGGGAGAAGCAGACTCCCCGCCGAGCAGGGAGCCCGATGCGGGACTCGATCCCGGGACTCCAGGATCATGACCTGAGCCGAAGGCAGTCGCCTAACCAACTGAGCCACCCAGGCGCCCCCTTCTTTCCTTTTTAAAGCATAGAATAGATATGGTTAAGCTCATCATGCCACCCACCCAGAACCCATCTCAAACCTCCACCCATGACATATATGAAGGTCAACACTAATCCAAATTTGGTGTGTATTATTCCCTTGCATGACTTTGTACATTTACTAGAACTGAATACATCTATAAACATTATATAGTACTGACTTGCTTGTTTTATACAAATATATAGGTTTCATATTTTACATTGAATTCTACAACTTTTCTTTCAACATGATATGTTTGTGATTTATAGATGTTGATTTTGAGTTATCTCTATGTTTGTACTCAGAAGTATATAAATAATTTAGAACCTAAAATGTGCTCTTTTTAATGTTTATGCATTCTGGAAGGAATACATTCATTGTAAATAACTAAAATCTTTTTCCAAAATATTGCATGTAACTTCAAAAGTATGTCTTGTTGCAAAACTGCCAAATTAAACTTCATGTTTGTCCATTTTGCTAGTAGACAAGAGATTATTTTGTAGGAAATTTCCCCAAGAATGAACAAGCAAGTTGACATATGACACTAAATGGCATATTCATTCCTTACTTAGTGTTTTTGTTTTCTTTTGAGAGAGAGAGAGAGTACGAGCTGGGGGAGGAACAGAAGGAAAGGGTGAAGCAGACTCCCCACTGAGCAGGGAGCCCCATGGGGAGCTCAATCCCATGACCCTGAGATCCCATGACCTGAGCTGAAGGCAGACTGAGCCATGCAGGTGCCCCTCATTCCTTACTTGTAAGATACCAAGAGTCTGGATAACTGCCAATATTCATCAGAATAATTTAGCAAAAAGGGTTTTCTTCAACAAAAATATTTTTTAAGCAAACAGAAATAAGAGAAACTAAATATATGCACGTATATCTATACTATTTGGAGTGAAATACATTGACAATATTAATTTTAATTATTGAAATGTTATTTGGTACCCAAAAAATATAATTATCTTTCCTCAATTTATGTGAAAGAGTACATCTAGTATTATTATTGGTTTTTACAAATAAAGAGTACACTGCTTATATTTCTTAAATCAGTTGTAAAACTTATAACCACAGGAGAGAGCCTTGAATGAAAAATCCATGGATTCACATTTTTGTTCTTAAATTAGTGATGCAATGATAGTAAAGAACCAAACATAAGAAGGAAGTGGTGGACAAAAGATAGAATATTGAATCAGCTGTTTTATATGTTCCATTAACACATTGTCTGAAAGCTTATATGTTGTCAATTTTTTTTTAAGATTTTATTTATTTATTTGACAGAGAGAGACACACAGAGAGAGGGAACACAAGCAGGGGGAGTGGGAGAGGGAGAAGCAGGCTTCCCGCGGAGCAGGAAGCCCGATGCGGGGCTCGATCCCAGGACCCTGGGACCATGACCTGAGCCGAAGGCAGACGCTTAATGACTGAGCCACCCAGGCGCCCCTATGTTGTCAATTTTCAACCAACGGTTTTTGTTAACTAGGCTTAGAAGTTCCCTTTGACTTGTAATATATTATTAGCACTGGCAATAACAATAAAATTCCTCTTGTTGAGCTTTTAATATATTCCAAACACTATGTATAGTGTACATAGTATACACATAGTGTCTTATATGCAGAAAGATAACATTTTATAATAAATATCGCATAATTTTCTCAATAATTCAGTAAGAAAGGTTTTTGTGGGATTTTTTGGTTTGGTTTTTCATTTTGTTTGTTTTTTGTTGTTGTTGTAGTTGCTGCTTCATTTTATGGTTTGGGAAGTTGAAGTTTAGAAAGGTGAGGAAAGGGGAGCCTGGGTGGCTCAGTCGGTTGGGCATCTGCCTTCAGCTCAGATCATGATCTCAGGGCCCTGGGATCGAGCCCCACGGCAGGCTCCCTGCTTTGCGGGGAGCCTGCTTCTCCTTCTCCCCCTGCTCATGCTTTCTCTCTCTCTTGCTCTCTCTCTTTCTCTCTCTCAAATAAATAAAATCTTAAAAAAAAAAGGTGATGAAAATAGTAGAGAGCATGTGTAATCCCACCTACCTGGTGAATTCTGGATCCTTTTCCTTTCCACCTGAGTTTTTTGTAATAGGTTTATCAATTTCTTCAAAAATGCCTGTTAGGACTTTAAATAGGATTGCACTGAATCTACAGATTACTTTAAGGAAGATTGCCAAGTTAACAAAATTGAATCTTTATTTCATAAAAATGGCCTTGCAATTCATGAAACAATCCCTCCATTTATTTAGGTCATCTTTATTTTATAAAGTTTATTTTTCAGTCTCTCATTTCCATTTGGTTCTTTTTATGGTTTCCTTTTTTTTAAAGTTTTTTAAAAATTTATTTATTTGACAGACAGAGAGAGAGATCACAAGTAGGCAGACAGGTAGGCAGAGGGAGAGGGAGAAGCAGGAGAATTCTTTATGTTTCCATTACACCATAGTCTTTCCTTTTTACTATGGCCGTTGACCTACAACATCAAATAATAAAGTTGGAAGTAATAAACTCCTGGTCATTACTTTCAATAAAAACAAATAGGAGAGAAATTGGCCAGTTTTGACTATAGTGAGATTTAAGAAATTCCACAGGACCTGTTTTCCCACATTAGCCTTCATCCTTGTCCCTGTTTTAGGTGTACAGCCTGCTCTCCCAAGTTTCTGCTTAGAATTAACTTTAATCTCTCTCTTTTTATTTGGTAGGATTCACCAAATTACTCATTGCATATTTATTTTCTCAACTTTTACATCTTCCCAATTGTATTTTTTCTCTGCTATTTATCTCTATTTTCCATGTTTACTTCACTTTTAATGGACCACCCACCAAGCTTGTGGCCTACCCATGATAAAGCCTTTTTAATTGAGCAGTCCTTGTATTCTTCTTTCATTCTCAAATCTCTATAGGTTTTTGGCAGAGACAGGTTATGAAAGCCTAAATTTCTTTCCTTCTTGACATCATCCATTTTCTCCCCACTAACTGAGAGTAGTTCTTGAAATAGTGTAAATATTTGCTTAGGATTTTATCCTAATACCCCACTCAGTGAGACATCAGTGCTAAAAAAACCCCAGCAGGGACATGTAACAGGGAATTTTCTACATTCTACAACTTAATGAGTAAAGGGAATCTTTATTTAATTAAAATTTTATATCTGTCTTATTTCCGCTCATAAACAACACTGAATTTCTCAGGGCCCTTATTTGCATTTTCCATTTCCTTTACATTAATGATGTCTTGAATTCTTGGCTAAACCTCATCAGAAAAGTCATTTTCCCTTGAGTATGAGTAGCAAATGAAGTATACCTCTTAGACATACTCTACATTTCCCAAAAGCTTTGGAATACAGCAGGTCACTGCCAGGGCCATCATCAAGGGGTGTCCAAAATCCCATAGGTCTAGACATCTAATCAGAGAGGTCAGAGAAGACAAATAACCTGTCAATAATTATGTTTTTTTTTACCTGTAGGTTAAAAGAAAGATAACTTGCAGTTCTATATGAATTGAAAATAGTTCTGCAGTCATACTCCATGTGAGACACTGTTTAAGCACTTTACCAGTATTAGCCCAAACGTGGTGGGTCCTATTATTATCCTCATTCTGTTAAAGTTCAAAAACTTGTATAATATCATACACCTAGATTTGGCAGAGCTGGGGTCTGAATCCTGGTATTTGGCTTTAGAGACTGTGTCCTCATACACTACACAACACTGCTATCTTAGTTTGTGTCATTTATATCTTAATAGAGAAGAGCACTCGCCAAGAAAGGACTCAAATCCAACAATCAATGAAATAGAGATGCCAAGATAAAATAAGGTACTCAAAAAATCTTGGAATAGATAGGTAAATGTAAACGAATAGTAATAAAGTGAATGGAAACAGGTAATGTAAGTATCAGATTGCACCATATAAAATTGCTATTTTTATATCTTGAAATGGTCTGGATATCAACAATTTCAAATGGTTCAAATATTAAATCAGGATACTTGAAATAGATATTCAAAGGAAAAATTGAATAGTAGCTTGGAATTAAAAACATTAGGCATTTTTTGGGGCGCCTGGGTGGCTCAGTTGGTTAAGCGACTGCCTTCGGCTCAGGTCATGATCCTGGAGTCCCGGGATCGAGTCCCGCATCGGGCTCCCTGTTCAGCAGGGAGTCTGCTTCTCCCTCTCACCCTCCCCCCTCTCATGCTCTCTCTCAAATAAATAAATAAAATTTTTTTAAAAAATTAGGCATTTTAGTACGATCTGAGAGTTAATAAGATGTGGCTGAGTGAGATGGCAGAAGTGAATTATTCTTAAAGGTCTCCCCTGTCAACGAGGAGGCACAGGGAAGTAAAACTGTGCTCAGGTTTTAGCTTAGTGAGGAGACACACAGCTGGGAACAAGAATGCCTTAGTGCGGTAGGCACTGGGTTAGTATCTTATTTTTGCAGAAAAGGGGAGAAATATGTGTTTGATTACAAGCATCAAAAAAGGAAGGGTGTTTCTGAGGAACTGACCTTCACTGCAGGCATGTAGCCAGAGTCTGGAGAACAGGCAGGTCAGGAAGGGTGGTGGGTGTTCAGGACCCCACCCTTTGCAAAGCCCGTTGGGAATGGCAAAAAGGAATTTCTCACACCTGGTCAGAGCCTCACTCTCTGTGGGTGGTATCATCCACAGCTGTACATAATCTAAATATGCTAGTGTCTTTTATGAGCTGCCTCTGGTGGAACACAACGACGTAAAAAAATTGTGACCTAAAGAAACTGCCCCACTTTGAACTCTAGGCAAAGTTGTAAACATTGCCGACA